TAGAGCAAAATAATAATAACAATAATAAATAAAGAAATAGATAAAGATAGATATATAACATAAATAGATTAATAAAGATTTTAAATAAAGTTAAAAAAACACAACCATAACCTCACCTGATAGTAGTGGTAGAGCAAAAAAAAAAATAATAATAATAATAAATAAATAAATAAAATAAATAAATAAAAATAGTTAGATAAAATAAATAGATAAAGATGATAAAATAAATAAAAGCACGACAATAACCTCACCTGATAGTAATGGGAGAGCAAAAAACAAAACAAAACAAAACAAAAAAATAATGAAAAATAGATAAATAAAGTAAATAGATAAATAAAGACGATAATATCCTCACCTGATAGTAATGGTAGAACAATAAATAAATAAATAAATAAGTAAATAAAAATAATAAATAAATAAAAATAGATAAATGAAATGAATAGATAAAAATAAGATTTGAAAAACACGACCATAACCTCACCTGATAATAGTGATAGAGCAAAAAAATAAAGAATAAATAAAAATAAAATAGATAAACAAACAAAAATAGTTAAATAAAATAAATAGCTAAATAAAAATAAAAAATAACACTAATAATTTTTTTTTTTTAAACACGACCATAGCCTCACCTGATAGTAGTGGTAGAGCAAAAAAGCAAAAAATAAATAAATGAAAAATAAACAAAAAAAAAATAAATAAAAAGTTAAATAAAATAAGTAGATAAATAATAAAAAAAAAATAAAGAATAGAATTAAAATAAAAAAAGCACGCCCATAGCCTCACCTGGTAGTAGTGGTAGAGCAGGGGGTAGTGCGCCAGGAGGTCCCTCGCCCGGGGGTCGTGAAGCAGCTCCTTCGCCCGGTGGTGGTCGTACAGCGCCCTCAGCCCCGCCAGCCGAGGGTCGTGCAGGTCGCGGCCGGAAGCAGTCGTGGGGGCGGTCGTAGGGGGGTCGTGGTGGGGGTGAGGGGGGTCGTGGTGGGGGTGTGGGGGGTCGTGGTGGGAGTGGGGGTGGTGGTGGTGGTGCGGGCGGCGAGAGAGGTCGTTCACGGGTCGTAGGGCCACGAGGGGTCGTAGGAGGGGGGTCGTTGGGGGGGAGGTGGCTTCTTTGGTGACCTGTTAGGGGGGGGGGAGAGGGGGGTTGTTAATAGTGCTTTGATGGGACTATTACTATTGTGGTCGTTATTATCTTTATCATCAGTGTTATTCTTGTTCTTGTTCCTAATTCTATTCTTTTTCATTTCTATTTTTACTATTACTGTCGTTATCACCACATCATGATTATTATTAATATAATCATAACTATGATAATTATAAATACAATTAGGGTAATGATGATAATAATAATAATAGTAATAATGATAATGATAATAATAATAATTTGTTATTAATCATTATTATCGTTATTATTATCATTATTTTTCATTAACATTACTATCATTAATTTTTTAGCATTACAATTATTATCATGATTACTAATGTTATCATTACCATCAAAATTATCATTTTTATTATATTTATTATGATCATAATTATTACAATTACACTCAAACTTTGAATATGTAGTAGTATTAATCATAATGATAATAATAGTAAAATGCAAACCTAAGGAAGATCATTAAGTAAGAAAGGAAGAAAGAAAGAAAGAAAGAATACAAATAAGACGAAAGAAGAAAGAATAACAAGAATAAGAATAATAGTAAGAATAAGAATAAGGTGAAGAAGAAATAAAAAGAAAAAAATAAGGAGATAGGAGAAAACTAAAAAATAATTACATCGAATATGATGAACACAAGAATACGAAAAAGAGAAAGAGAAGGAGAAGGGGAAGGAGAAAGAGAAAATGATGGTAAAAAAATAAAAAGAAGAAAAAACAAGTAGAAGAAGAAGAAGGAGAAAATGATGGAAAAAATGAAGAATGTAGAAGAAGAAAGTGATGAAGAAAAAGAAGAAGAAGAAGAAAAAGAAGAGGAAGAAGAAGAAGAAAAAGAAGAGGAAGAAGAAGAAGAAGAGGAGATGGAACGAAGCTAGCGAAAGGAGGACAAAGAGAAGACGCCGACCGAGGAGGCGCAGGCGGAGCGCGTCAGGCCTTACCTCCGTCACCTTGGCTCTCTTGGGCGTCGGCTCCATGATGCGGTCGATGGAGAAGGCGAGGGGCGCTCGGCTCCTCGTGTGGGCGGCTGCAGGGCTCGGTGGGCGGTCGTCTTCGGGCGTGTGGGCGGGGGGGACTCAGTCTGTGGGGGCTGTGGGCCGGGGGCGTCCTCATGAGCTGCGGGCTGGACACGGGCGCTCTGTGTGTGGGCGGGGAGGTGGAGGCGCCCCTCCCTGCGCTGGCTCTGTCCCCCGCGGAATCCCTGTCCTCCGGCGCCTCCGAGAGCCTCTCCTCCAGGGCGTGGGGGGTGACGACGACCCCCGTGTGGGCGTGGGCGTAATAGTCGTCGTCGCGGCTGTCCCTCGCGAGGACGGGCGGCGAGGTGAGCGGAGACACATCCTCGGCGGCCATGGCGGGGTATTGCATTGGGCGGTCTGGCGTCGAGCTCTCAAAAACCCCCCTCAAAGTCGAAAAATAAAATCTCCCCCCTTAAAAAAAAGGGGAGCTGGTCTATTCTAATACAACGCGTTGCCTCAGAATTGTTGGATAAAAAAGAGAGATATTTCTGAGGTTCGACGCAGATAAATATCTACATGAAATCCCTTTCGGAGGAGAATTAGACATAAATCATGCCTGAGTTGACTGAAGGGGCCGCCGATGAGGTTTCCTGAGGGGGTTGTCTCGTTGGACTCGAGTGGTGGTGCCCCGTCGGTGCCATCCAGGGGAGGAGGGGGGGGGAGAAGGGGGAAGCAGGAGGACCCCCAAAAATAAGGGGGAAGGGGGAGTAGGAATTAAGGGGGGGAAGGGAAGGGGGTAGACGTGATCCCCTAACCAAGAGTAGGGGTTGGGGGGGAAGGAGGGAGGGAAGGGAGTAGCTTAGGGGGGAGGGGGGCCGAGAGGGGTCAGGGGGGAGGGGAGGGGGGGGAGAGAAGGGAGGAGCTACGTCCTGTCACTCAGTGTTGCCAACGTCATGCCTGCGGGGGAAGAGGGGAGAAGAGGAAATTAGTAATAATGGCAAGGTAGCGCCGGAGCAAGTGCAGATGACTTTTTGGAAAGAGGGGATTAACGTCCTTTGAAAAGATGAGAGAAAGGCAGAGAGGCGGAGGAGGGGGGGGGGCGAGAGGAGGGAGAGGAGGAGTATGTTAAAGGCAGAGGAGTAGGAGTAAAAGTGAACGAGCGAGCAAGTGAGTGAAAGGAGAGAGAGAGAGAGAGAGAGACAAAGAGAAAGAGACACGCAAAGTGATATATATATATATATATATATATATATATATATATATATATATATATAGAGAGAGAGAGAGAGAGAGAGAGAGAGAGAGAGAGAGAGAGAGGAGAGAGAGACAGATAAACAGAGAGAGAGAGAGACAGAGACAGAGACAGAGAGAGAGAGAGAGAGAGAGATACAGATACACAGAGAGAGAGAGACAGAGACAGAGACAGACAGACAGACAGACAGACAGAGAGAATGTAGCAAAATAGACGATAGTAAGGACGACAAATGTATGTGAAAAAATATGTATATGCTCACATCAACCTAGAACAACGACGGACCGAAAATATACCATGACAAAAAAAATACAAGGCCCAAATCTCGGATTGAGAGGAGTAAACAAAAGAATCCAAGACTATAACAAAAACAAAAACAAAAACAAAAAAATATGAATGTAAGGCATGAAGCAGCAGCCACAGACACACAAGGAACACTCGACAAAATGCAATTGTCTCAACTTCCATGACCTATTAACACCCCCCCCCCACCCCCCACCCTACCTACTCCTTCACCCCCCCACCCCCACCTTCTCCCTCACCCACTCCCCCACCCACTCCCTCACTCCCCACCATCTAGTCCCGTCCTCCCCCCCCCCTCCTTAAACCCCTTCCCACTCACCCCCACCCACTCACTCTCTCTCACCCCCTCCCTCCCTACTTAGACCTACCCCCTCCCACCCCCTACCTATTTATAACCCTCCCACCTACCCCCCTCCCTCTTTACCCCCCCCCCCCCCATCCCGTCCTTTATAACCCTATCTACTACCTCTAACCTCCCCTCCCCTACCCTCCCCCCTTTCCTTCCTCCCTATGACCCCCCCACCTACTCCCTCTCTCCCTTTCCTCCCTCTTACCTCCTCCCCCCCCTCCCACTCTATCCTCCTCTTTCCTCCCTCCTTAAACTACCCCCCACCCTCCCACCCCCTTTACTACCCCCCCCTCACCTCCCACACCCTCCACGGCGTGCTCCAAAATGCACAGTTATAACAACAGGAGCTTTTAATAAACTCCTTTTCGCTCCTTAATGGCCTTAGCAAGCACTTTGCATGCGTCACTGAAAGCACGGGAGGCGAGGGCCAAGGGGAGGTCCTCTAAATAGATGCTAAGAAGTGAACAATGAAAACCATTTAGCAGTGAAAGGCACCCAATATCCAGCGCACCGGGATTCACAAAGCGCGCTCACCGAAGACTTATGAGAAGCCTATACGAACCGGCCCAAAGTGGACGGAGAGGACGCTCGTTCGTTCGTTCGTTCGCTTGTTTTTTTTTTTTTTTTTTGGGGGGGGTGGCTTTGTCGTTCGTTTGTTTGTTTGTTTGTTCTTGATCTCTCGTTTAGTCGTTCTCGTTTTCTGTCTCTGTCTCTCTCACTTTCTCTTTCACTTTCTCTCTCTCTCTCTCTTTCTCTCTCTCTCTCTCTTTCTCTCTGTCTCTCTGTCTCTCTGTCTCTCTCTCTGTCTGTCTCTCTCTCTCTCTCTCTCTCTCTCTCTCTCTCTCTCTCTCTCTCTCTCTCTCTCTCTCTCTCTCTCTCTCTCTCTCTCATTTTTTCCGTATTTTCTTCTACTGTCTTGGTCTTTACCTTTTTTCCCCACAACTTGCTCCTCATCATCACTTTCTTGTTTATATTTTTTGGTTCTATTTCTAGTTCCAATCTTCTTACCCCTCCTTTTCTTTTCTCTTCCTTTTCTTATTCTCCTTCCTTCTCTCTTTTCGTCATCAGGTTTTTATTTCTCGCGTTTTTTAATCTCCATAATTGACTATGAAGATGCCTACCCCCCCTTATCCCCTTCCCCTCCCCTCCCCCTACGTCTACTTTTTCTTTAAAATATTGTTAATGCGCTTTAATATTATTGTTGTTGTTTTCGTTATCACTGTTTGCTTTAGTTGTTTTTATCGAGATTTATTAAGAAAAATCAGCGACGAAGGGTTGTAATTGTATGTAATTATTTTTTTCCTTAGTTTATTACGATAAATCATAATGAGAACGAAATAGATTATTAATTCAGTTGCTTGAATTTATATATATATAGTTTGTGTAAATAATAAACACAAGGAATGCTAAAAGATACGAAGATTAAGAAATAAACAAATAAAAATGCCTTGCTACTTTTGCCCATTTCGTGAGTGGTTCCAAAATGAAAGAAGTCAAAATGGCTGCCACCAGCAACGCTCTCAAAAAAAAGAAGAAAAAAAGAGAGAAAAAAAAATAGACTTGTCATAATTTAAGAGTCCTTTTCCACACCTCGTTCGCCCTCTCCCCTCCTTCTCCCCACCCCCCTATTCCCTCTCCCTCCCTCCCCCTTTTTCTACTCTTCCCCTCTCCCTCCCCCTATTCCCTCTCTCTCTCTCCCTCCCTCCTTTCCTACTCTTCCCTCCCTTCCCTTTCCTACTCTTCCCTCCCTCCCCCCTTTCCCACTCTTCTCCTCTCCCCTCCCCCTTCCCTACTCCCCCCCTCTCCCCTCCCCCCCCTTTCCTACTCTTCCCCTCTCCCTCCCCCTATTCCCTCTCTCTCCCTCCCCCCTTCCCTTACTCTTCCCCTCTCCCTCCCTCCTTTTCTACACTTCCCTCTCCCTCCCCCTTTCCTACTCTTCCCCTCTCTCTCCCCCTTTCCTACCCTTCCCTCCCTCCCTCCCCCCCTTTCCTACTCTCCCTCCCTCCCTCCCTCTCGTCTTTTTCTCCATCTCACCCTTTTTTTCCCCCCAGCGTGGCTTCATTCTTGTCGACACCGCGCAGGGTGGATGTGAACGAGTGAGCGATCCCTTAAGGAACGCCTAAGGAAAGGGAGAAGGGGAGGAGGGGGGGAGGGGGAGGGTAAGGAGGGGGAGGGGGAGGGGCAAGGGGGGGAAGGAGGAGTTAGGGTGTAGGGTAAGAGAAGGGGTTGATAGGGAGGGAAGGAATGGAGGGAAAAGAAAGGAAAGGGAAAAGGAAAAAGGAGGGGATGGTAGAGAGGGAGGGAGAAGAGGCGGTGAAGAGGGAAGGGGAAAAGGGAGGGAAGAAGAAGAGGAAAAAAGGGAAGGATGGTGAGGGAAAAAAAGAGAGAGAAAGAGGGGAGGAGGGAAGGGTAGGGGAAGACGAAGAAAGAGAGAAAGGAAAAAGAAGAAAAGAGGAAAACGGAGAAAGGAGCACAGGGAGAAAGAGAAGAAGCAGAATAGGGAGAAGGGGAGGAGAGAAACGGAAAGAGGAAAAGGGGGAGCAGAATGGGGGGAAAATGGTAAAAACGAAATAGGGAGAAGGAAATAGAGAAAAGGGATGAAAGAGGAAAAAGGAGAAACAGGAGAGAAACGGAACAGAGAGAAACAGGAAAGAAGCGGAACGGGTAGGAAGGGAGGCCAGGAAATGGAATGGGGAGAAGGGAGGGGGAGTGGAATAGGAAGGAGAAGGGGGGGTGGGGTGGATAAGGAGGGCGCGATACCCCCCACGGCGTTGAGATATTGAAGCGACACACACGACACAACTGGCACCTTACTCGCGGAAATGGACTGAACCGCCAACAAAAATATCCTTTTACAGAGCCACGCGTCTTGGTGCTCTCTCGCTCTTTCCCTCTCGCTCTCGCTCTCGCTCTCTCTCTCTCTCTCTCTGGCTTTCGCTCTCGCTCTCTCTCTGGCTTTCGCTCTCGCTCTCTCTCTGGCTTTCGCTCTCGCTCTCGCTCTCGCTCTCTCTCTCTGGCTTCCGCTCTCACTCTCGCTCTCTCTCTCTCTCTCTCTCTCTCTCTCTCTCTCTCTCTCTCTCTCTCTCTCTCTCTCTCTCTCTCTCTCTCTCTCTCTCTCTCTCTCTCTCTCTCTCTCCCCCCTCTCTCTCTCTCTCCCCCCCCCCCTCTCTCTCTCCCCCTCTCTTTCTCCCTCTCTCTCTCTCTCTCTCTCTCTCTCTCTCTCTCTCTCTCTCTCTCTCTCTCTCTCTCTCTCTCTCTCTCTCTCTCTCTCTCTCTCTCTCTCTCTCTCTCTCCCTCTCTCTCTCTCTCTCTCTCTCTCTCTCTCTCTCTCTCTCTCTCTCTCTCTCTCTCTCTCCCCCTCTCTCTCTCTCTCTCTTCCCCCCTCTCTCTCTCTCTCTCTCTCCCCCCCCTCTCTCTCTCTCCTCTCTCTCTCTCTCTCTCTCTCTCTCTCTCTCTCTCTCTCTCTCTCTCTCTCTCTCTCTCTCTCTCT